GCGAAGAGCAGGCGACATACTGCCCGCATGTCACTACTGTGTTGCAGTGAAAACGTCTTTGTTTTCTGCAGTCGTAAATTTTGGTCGAACACGACCGCAGTTTTCTTTTGTTTTGTTTTTTCGGTGGCAGCAGTAAGGCCCACTGTTACTCCATGTTCGCGGCAAAATAAAGACCAGGTATTGCTGGAAAACATGACCTTTGTAGCCGCAAGCTAGCCGGCACAGCAAACTACGAGCACTGATTACTTTAAATACTTCCAAGTTCCTTGTATCCACTTCTTGTATGTTCTGTTATTTTCAAAAGCCACTTAATTTGAAGCTTTCTTGCGACCCCAGTGACTTCAAATTAACGAGATTTTACTGTATATAATAAAAAGAGCATTGGGGCTAATACAGAACCCTGTGGTACACCAGATAAAATGGGAACAGTATCAAATACATGGTCATGTACTGTACATACTGATAACGGTCTGAAAGATAATCTTTAATTCAACGCGTGAGTGATCCTTCTTCTATTAGACACTTTAATTTATAGTTAAGCTTTAGGTGGGAAACGCGATCGAAAGCCTTGAAGTCCATAAAGATTACATTTATTTGTAGTAGGCTGTTAACATCTTTGGCAAAGTCATGAAGCGTTTCCACTAATAGAGTAACAGTCGACAGGCCGCTACGCAACCCAGGCTGATTGGAGTGTATTATGGTGAGACTTTCGACAAACTCTGTTAATTAATTCAGGATGATGTGTTCAAGTATTTTGCAAGATGTGTATGTCAGAGATATGGGCCTGTAGTTAGCTGGGGGAAACGTATCACCTGATTTATGCACGGGTACTATCGTTGCTAGTTTGCAGTCCGCTGGAAGATGACCAACGTGAAGTGAATTTAAATATATTTACTGAAGGAACTTGCTTGCAGTCTCAGTGTACCACTTTAAAAAGGCATTTGGAACGTCATCTGGACCAGTGCTTTTCTTTTCGTCGAGGTTTAGGAAGAGAGATGATACACCCGCCTGCGATGTGAAGAGGGTGTCTAATGGTATATCTACGTCACTTGGTCTGAACTGGCCGCGTTGATGTAGGTCATTATCAGCGGTGAAAACAGACTGAAAGCAGCTGTTGAAAAGATCGACTATCCTCCCGGGTTAGGCGTATAGGCTTTGTTAGTACGTTTAACACTTATGTATGGCCAGAACTTATGAGGCGCTGTTTTAATAAAACTGCGTAAAGAGTGACTGAGAAAGCGTTTATTCACTAAATTCACTTTGCTCTTAAAGGGGCACTCACCAGGTTTGACAATTTTGAGCTGACAAGCGCAATGCGAAGATTAGGCGTTCACGATCACGTCAGCCAATATTTGCAACACTACGCACCGCGGAAATGGGTCAAATTTCAAGATAAACGCTGCTCCCCTTTCCTTTTGTGGGCATGCGCCTAGAAAATGAGGGCATGACGTGCGCGTATGAACGGCCCTACGTACACGGCAAAGCAGTAGTAACGTTGGTCCTCTACGTTGTGCTCTATTGTGCTCTGACGTTGCCAACAGTGATGTGTGACATGGCAAAAATCATTTAACACGACATGCGTGCTTATGTATTTGTTGCTTGAAGAGATTAATAAATCTCTAGATAAATAGTGAGACGCAATGAGGAAATGTGAGCATTCTTTTTTCTTTTTTCCTGTGAAACACAACAAGACGCGGGGCTATAATGTGCCGGCGTTTTGCAAGCGTTCGTGTGCACGCGGTTAGTGCATCGAGCGGATGACAACCGTGAAACGCTCCTACACGTTTGCGCACACATTGTGCTCATTTATTCTACCGCGTCTAAGCCAGCGTTTCCGAACCATCCAGCAGAAACAGGCAGTAGACTTCAAAACAATGCTGTTCGAAAAAAAAAAAAAAAGACATGCTGCTCGCGCGCACGGGGGTTGGGCTTGTTCGGTCACGTCATGCGCACGTGACCTTTTGGTCAGATGCCGGAAAGGGTAGGGAAGAGATTCAGCTCGCGAAGGCTACGTGGAGGAGCGGCAAGGATGTCGAGCTCGCCTCTTCTCATCCTCGTTTCGCACTGCTACAAAAAAGTTTTCGCAAGCTCGTAATGAACCAATTCAAAAAATTTTTTGTGGAAAAATGCTCCTCATCGGACACCCAACAATTTTCATGGTTTAACTAAAATTTGGTATGGGGCCTGGTGAGTGGCTCTTTAAGGGACCTTGACAGTGCCAAGATTTCCGACACAATACTACTGCGTGGGTGAACTTTCTAAGCTTTTTTTAATTTACGCTTCGTATAAATTATGTCGCCCGTGATCCATAGATTGTGCTTTCTGATGTTTTTGTAACCGTTGGAACAAAGTTCTCCATGCAATTCCTAACAATGTTAACCATATCATATTTACCATTTAGTGTTCACTTCAGTAGAGTTCCAAAAAGTTAGAAAGTTCGTGAGCAAGGTATGTCGTGATGGCAGCGTTGTCCGCTTTTTTAAATGCAAGCACCTGTTTCGTTGTAGCTTCTATATGAATAGCGCTGAGATATTGCAAACAACACGAGATATTTTATGATCAGATAAGCCTTCTAATGTCTCTACGTTGACAGGGTAATTTAAAAAGTGATCACATAAAAAACCAAGATTTATAATAGAAGCGGAAGAGCCTTCGTTATCGGTAGGAGCTGTAACAGCTTGTGTAAGGTTAAATGTGAACATGATATCAGCAAGCACATTGCCAGTCTTCAACGCCAGGTTCAGCGAGTCCCATTTCACTTCAAGCACGTTAAAATCACCTGCTATAGCAATTTTTATCCCGTAAGGAGCGTGTGTAAGCATATAATCGTGAAGTGCTTCTAAAAATGAAACTTCAGCATCAGACGGTCTGTAAACGACACCACTGTAGGTTATTTAATTTTTGACGTAGGCATTACACCATACTGCTTCGGTGTCAGAGGCCACGGGCATAGCTGTGTATGGAATATCGTGCCAAATTGATAGGGCTACTCCTCCTCCTCTTGTTTTCCTGTCCTTGCGCAGAATCGCATACCCCGGTGGCATATACAGTTACCTAATATACACTGGAGGGAATCCTGGCGCTGGTGTCTATGGAAGCTGCAACGCATGGTGCTGCAGCGAGCATGGGAATGACGGGTAGTACACAAATTTGTCTAATATTTGTACTTCTGGCCTGCTTCTAGCTCTGTGTGTGTTTGTGTGGCTTGGAGCTGTTTTCTCATGAAACGAAAATCAGCAGATGTTCAGCAGTTGCACTTCACCACCTTATTATTTTAGGCTATTATTTCGAATTAGGTCACAAAGTTCAAAAGGGTTCGTTCTTTTAAAATGAAACTAAAACGCAGCAATAAATTAACCCGTAAGTTCGATTCGCCGTCCCCAGGTACGAAGACTAGGCAAATTCGTGTACCACCTATGATTTCCATAGTCGCTGAACGATCGCAGCGCCAGAGTCCCCTCTGGTTAATTTTAGGAAACTCTATGCCCGGTGGTACTATCTTGTGGTCTGGGATACCAGAATGCATCCACGTTTCAGTGAGCGCTACGATATCAGGTTGATAAGACAGTAGGACAGCTTTGAGTTCATAAGTTTTGTTGATAATGCTGGGACAATTCACATTCAAAAGTGTCAACGCGGATGGTTTCAAGTGTGACGTTTTGCGCGTCTTGCTTCTTCGTTTTTTTCAGCCTCAACGATGTGATTTCATTCACTGTCCCAGAAAAATAGGCGGTCATTTATGCGAGCTTCATCGTAAATTAATGCACCCTAAATTTTAGACCAATGCCATGCAGATCTTTAAGGATTTGCAGTGATTTTTGCGTGCACTGATCCAAAACCAATCCATGTTCTAGCCACTGCAAAGCAGGCTTACTGTCCGAAAACAGCCCGACTTGTTTCTGTCTGCAAAACTTCAGCTTCTTCAGAGTTGCCTGAATTGCCACACTTTCACATGCTGTCGATGAAACAACACACTAGAGTTGCACTTCCCAGGACGCCTTTAGAGACGAGATCACAAACACTGCAACGCTTGCTCTGCGCTCTATGTCGACCGATCTATAGGTGAAAACTTAAAATGATCGGCGTACTTTTCTTCAATGTATTCAAGTACCGAAGATTGTACATCTGCTGTGGGTGTGGAATGCTTGCTGTGCATCCGAGGAATCGTCCCTTAACAGTAGACATCCTCATGTGACCAAGGTGGGTCTTGTCGAAGTGGTCTTTGTTTGGGAAATTCGACGCCAAGATGGCAAAGGGTGTAGAGGGCCACGAAAGCTCGTGATATTGTGCATCGCCGAAGGCGACTGAGTAGTGCTCGTCCTGGGTTCGATTCGCTAAGCCGGCAAAGCTGTGTCAGCAGTCGAGAGGTGAGAAGACATAACGGTGAAATTAAGCACCTTTATGGTCACTGCAAACATTGACACTTCCAAAGCCACTCTAAGGCCTTTACGATGAAGTGTTTTCAACAGTTCGCACTGCGACTCACTTGGAGAGATCCGAGGCAATCAGAAGAGCACACAATTCACAATTACTGCCGCCTGTAACGTTATCATTAATGTTGGGTGGCTCCCTCAGCTTGTTCCCCCATCCTACGAAGAATGTTTACACGGGGTGACAGCACTGACATCGTCTTCTTTACTGCACGCCGCCAATTCATCCTAGAGTGCGACTCCAACGAATCTCATGTACTTACCTTGCTTAATTCGTGAGTTAATTAGCAGAGAATTAGCTTGTTAACTAATTGGTTAGTCTAGAACTAACTCAAATAACACAAGTAAATATGGTACCCACTGGCCGAACTCTCCGAAGTAATCCTGTTCCGACTCATTAAATGTGAATTTGATAGCACCCCATGCGTATTGATGACCCCTTTAGAGCCATTGCTACTTTTTCAACATTCATTGCTCAGTTCATGCAACATTGTAATAAAATCGCAAATAGCCAAAACACCTGCTCCAGTGTTCCTGCCCTCCTGAGCATTTCAGCCAAAGAGTACGCACCAAGTGGGCATATCGCTGCATGTCACTCAGCTGTGAATTCAGGGTCAGGATCTCCTGCTGCTGACGCAAGTTCACCTCTGTTCGTCGACACAGTTCCTCCTGGAGGTGGCTGGACTCTTTCGTCACATCCGCTGGAGGAGAGAGGACATTCATTAGCAATGAAATTGTGGCATAACAATGCAGACTGCCAAAACCTAACCATAGTTGCAGGGCCATTCATTCAAGGCTTATACAACTTTCAATGAAAAAACTTCACAACCAGTTCTGGAAAACTGGTTCATCATTGCAAGCCCCTCGCAGAACTAAAGCCCTTCCAGTTACCTCCGCCATGCTTGCCCAACACTTTTACACCCAGAAATTTTATCTTGCATATTTTACAAGCATAGAAAACAGATTGAAAGCTGCCATTTGTCAGAATAGCCCCCATAACAAGAATTCTCAGTAGCGCAAACAAAATTATGTTTCAGAACACAGCACAAGTCAGATCAATATAAAATGCACCTAAAACTTGGTAATATAGGTGCCCCTGTTCTCAACATGACAACTGGCTGAAAGTGCCTGAGACCTACGCATTGCATGACCTCCCTGCTGGCTTTACTGTTAGGTCGCAAAGTTAACCAGGCTACTGCATATTCTTAAAAACAAAATTCTTGATGTTTCATAGAGAATCCCAAGGTTGACAGATCCATACCTGCAAGTGTACAGGTAAGCTTCAACTTTCTTCAGTTCATGGCGGACAATTGTGTTGCCTCTTTCCTAGTGACCCATTGTGGGGATCTGAGGAGCATCCTTAACCATTTCGCGGGCATTTTCGCCATATGACTGCTCCCGTTCTTTCTCACATGTTCTGGCAACGGCGTGTAACAATATAGATGTTCTCGGGTTGTTAAGAGTCGGCAAGTAACATGTGCGACAAGAAGGCTCTTTCTTTTCCTCGGGCTGCAGACGGCAAGCACGCATCCTTTCTCTATGTGTGTCCCCTTTGGGAATTGCCACACTGTAGCCAGCCTGGGTGCCTAGGCATCCTAAGTGGGCATGTTTACTTTTGTGCTGGCTTTGGTTCCATACGATAGGTCAAACAGTGGTGCCTAAAGCTTAACGTGGTCATTCTTCACAAAGCCGCACTTGCCGGAGGCCTATTCATACAAGGTTTGCCCGAACTCTTCTGGCCAGGGTGCGCAGCTCAGCCACAAGACACCACTTTCCGAGTGGTGTATCAAAACTCGCCATTTCCAGCTACGATGTGCTCACGGCTTCCCCTTTTGGTTATGACCACGTCCCGGGAGCGGATGTTGTACTGTGTTTTGGGTGCCGCTAAAGGCAATAGTGTTTGAGTGTTTTTGTTAGATTGAACACTGTCTGTTGTGCCAGGCTGCGATAAACACTTTGCTAGTTGAGCGCGCGTGTAGCGGTGCGCTATATGTGAGCAGGCGACGATAGACACAGACCTATGGCTTGCTAAGTCTGGACTTGCGATGATCTTTCGTTACGATGAGTAACAAGGTTGCCACACCATTTGTACACCTAACTTCTTTCATGATGCCTACTCTCTTCACAACACTGTACCTCTGTGTCTAAATGTTATGGCTGAAATTCAATTACAATACATTATAGCAACACTACAATAGAAAAATCAACCATCTTTGTCCCCATGGTGGTCTGCATTAGGTCCAAGTGCAACAAAATACCACTGCACCCCGCATGCTGTACCACGAAGAGAAAGTGAGAGAGCAGAGAGTATTCGTGTGTGCGAAAAACTGGAGAGATGATGGGCATCCGAAGGCAGAGGTTATGGGAAGTGTGAATCTCCTCTAGATTGATGTGTATTGCACGGTAGAAAACATGGACGGCAAGCAGACAAGGACAAGCACAGACTATTGACTCATCACAATATACCTCTATTAGGAACCACGAACTGGCCCAATTGTCTCCTTTCAGGAGTTTGCGCATACTGCCACACACCCACTTTTCTATGTTTTATGTTTCTGCTCCAATGCACGAATAGTTACTGCGTTGTGCAAACTTCAATAGAATGTCTGAGACCATTCTACATAGTTTCCCGATCATCTGTTCGGCTTGAGTGCATAAACGGGAACAGCCGAATTTATGCAAATCAGTTCTTAAGCGACTTGCAAGGTGGCAAAAAAGTGAAGAAAGAGAAAATTGTAGGCTTGTGCGAATAGTGGATTATAAGTTCGAAGCGCATTTGAAGCGAATAGTGATTTTGGCCGAATAATTTCGAATTGAAATCGAATAGTATGTATGGCATATACAGAAAATGGACATATTTATCAAAACTTAACCTGCACAATACTTCAAAAATAAATTGAAGTAAGGCCTCTATGGAAATGCTTTTTTTTTTCGTTCAAAGAAAGTCGAAAGAACTTTGAGTAGTAGCAGGATTTGACTTTTGGTGGATGTAAGTGATAACCTGTCAAATACGTAACATATTAAAATTTATTATACTTAGTGCATATAAGCCAACATAACAAGCTTCAATGAATGATGATTAATTTGACGGTAATACGTTCATTTAAAGGGTCCCTTTAAATTAACAGCATCATTTGCACAAAGAAGAGAGCAATTTTTAGCTGAATTTGAGGATTTGTTGTGACTTTTGGGCCGTGCGCTGCGCCATAATATTAGGCTCACGTTTTCTGACCAAACTCAAAAAGTGTTGCACGGCCCCTTTAAATTTGAAGTAAGGTTTCGCGGGAAAGCGAATTTCCCCTGAACAGGTGCTTTTACGGCTTAGCACTCCTAAACGGCAGTGAAACCACCTTTACAAAAGCTTACATGCTGATTAAAGGGGTTGTGAAACATGTACTAAAAATTTTAAACTACGTGTGTTTTCAGAATCCTGGCAGTCTATTCAATACTATACCTCGACTCATTTGATCGTCTGTGCTCAATGAATACATACAAAGATGCTATTTCGGTTTCCCAGCTCACGTTCCCGTAAACTATGTAGCTGACGCCACTTTAAGACAGCCAATGAAGTCTCTCTGTTGTCGACAAAACATGGTGACGCAGCGATGTTCTTGAGCCTTAGTTGACCATGGTTTGTAACATCATAGTGTTTGGCGCCATCACCACCACCCGACTTTCCCGAACTACAGCGTCGTCTGCTTGAGGGGAGTCGGTTTAAGAACAAAACAGCAGCAGTGGTGACGACGGCGAAGAAGCCTGCACCCTGCAAGCACTCTTATCGAGACCACGTGGCAGAACCTTTGCTTGAGGAAGCCCCGAACACGAGTTTCCACTTTGTATGCCCATAATGTTGGGTGACATTGTGGTTGATAGCTCGAAGCAATGCTCAGCGCTGTGGGCCGCTGGGCAGCTTGTGAGAACGAACGTTGTTTGCACTTTGATAAGTTGTGCGTCTGTCTGACGACACACACGGTTGACATGGTGAGGACTAAGTGCTGGACACAGTGCCATTCAGCATCCAATACGGGGTGCAAACGCGGCGTACTCCGATTAACGACACATGGGGCGAACAAGCCATCAGCGCTCAGGCTCCACTCACGTACGGCATCTCAGCTTGCACACTCAGAAGACATCATATCTTCTTACAAAATAAACAACGACACACAGTCATGGTTTGTTGCCTAATAACATTGCTAACAAAGCTATGCCTTTGCGAGCGACAAACATCGCGACAGCCAACATTCATTCTTGACTCCGAGCGTAGATCTAGCAAGGCTGACATTCTCGGTAGCGCCGCTCGCTTTTCAACATGAGCTCATTGTCGAGCGCTTCTTTTTGCCAACACGATAAAAACTTGTACACTTATATATAATGCTTTACCCGCACAACTAGTTTTGTCAATGGCCTCGATCTAAAGAGCAAAGGTGGGAACGAAGCTGGCCGGTTCGCCGAGACAGCCAGTGCCCCTGTTTGTTTACCTGCGAAATGGCCTTCCATCACGGCTCAATATCTCGTTGGTGGTTCGGAAACAGACGTTGCCTTGCAGAAATAGTACACTTCAAGCATCGATTTATTCAATCATGAGTTTATTTCACATCAGAAACAGCTTATCCAACGTTTTCCATGCCGCAACAACGACGACATGCCCAAATGCCAGGACGATCAAGGCTATCGGAGCGGCGAGAAAAAAGCTTGCGACGAGCGCCCACTAGTGGTGCCCATTGTCACGCTCCCGCACTGCCATTGGTCGCGACCACCAGACCGATGCAGTTGCCGGTGCAGTTGACAAATGATGCAGTTGACAACCACCCATGTGTAGCAAAATCCATCGCCGGACTAGGAGGACACTAAGAGGCTTTTCTTTCTGAGAAATCCATATGAATTTTATGGCGACTTTGTGCTACAAATGGGTGGCTGTCAATTTTCTAGGCTTTTGCGAATATTTGAACAAATAGTAGAATATTTGAATTTGCTTCGATCTGAATTTAAGTTATTGAACATTTCAATTGATTGATTGATATGTGAGGTTTAACGTCCCAAAACCGCCATATGATTATAGGAGACGCCGTAGTGGAGGGCTCCAGAAATTTCGACCACCTGGGGTTCTTTATCGTGTGCCCGAATCTGAGCACACGGGCTTACAGCATTTCCGCCTCGATCGAAAATGCAGCCGTCGCAGCCGGGATTTGGTCCCGCAACCTGTAGGTGGTGGTTGTCAATTCTCCTTTCCTTATTAGAGTTTATTCTGGAACAAACTTGGCCATCAGCGATAATGCTCAAATATTCCACGCCGCGTGTATACATGCCGATGTGTACTGCTGCGAATCAGTTCACTGACGGCCAACACTCTGTTCACCGCTATCAGTACCAGTACGTATCGATGTACTCTGACTTTCCATTCACTGGCCGCAAGTCCCACCAAATAAACAGTTTCACCTTGGACTGACGGTCTGCTCCCTTCATCCACATGACGTTCCCATGACATCCCGTGGAGTTGCTTCCTGGCACATGTACTGATGTCAGAGCATAGGTGAACTGTTGACCTATGCAATGACATGTGTGCAGTGAACTGTCAGGAAGCGGCTAGCCAGAGAATGCAAGTTGAAGCAGCCTTCCACCGGCCCGCCACAATGCTCGAATCGATCCAGTAAATTCTATGTGCCTGGCATGAGTGAGACTTTGGGCGGTGTTCTGAAAAGGTACGACACATAGCTTATGTATCCACGCACAAGCTAAAACACACTCTCATCAATGTGAAAGACAAATTACGATAAGAGTGCTTTCCTGGTGTTGTGTATGAGGTTCCGCATGCGAATTGCATTTATGTGCATATGGGTGAATATGGGAACATTGCGTGTTCACTCAAGCAGCACAATAATGGTGTAAAAAATGAAAAGGTGTCAATAAACACCCTCGCTGGGTATGCACAAGCTTTAAATCATGCGACAGACCGGACCAGGGAGTTCTAGACTGTATCTAGAATCAGGAACATTAAAAACAAAAAAAAACGCGCTCAACCACACAAGCGGCAATTTGCCTCCTGCATACACAATTAGGCCAGGTGCCTATCTAAATGCTTAGCTTTCATTGTGAACAAAGCTCTTGATCTTGGTGCGGAAACATATTATTTTTTTTTTCATTTTTTATTTTCCCATTGTGGTCAGTGTCTACGTCTAATTATTCAGAACAGTTCCCGTGTACCCTCATGCAGCTCTCACACCAGCTGGACTGCTTCGCGTCAGTGCTCTCTGGATTTTTGCCTGCATCTCATCATCGTCAGCGACCTGCCAAACACTGGAATTCAACGGCTTTCACATTGATGACAACAACTGAGAAGTGGACATCAATGCTTTAGGAGCTCGCCAGGCTTGAACGGACCAACAGAAGTGGTGCATAGCCATTGACTGCCTTCGAAATGTTGCCTCAGCATGGCGTAGGTATGAAGGCACGAGGCAGCAGTCCTGGGTGGTCTGGAGCACCAGGCTCATCACTGCCTTTGGAGGGATTGACTACGACCTCACTGCCACCACCCATTCCAGCCTCACCACCCATTCCAGCCTCACCACCACCGAGGATGGACTCTCTTGGGACACCACCTTGAGGCTGCTACTGCACAGTACACCTTATTAATAGCAAGCGACACCAGACTCTCATAGGGCTATGATGCTGTGTTAGACACAGCATCACCATGACGAGACACCGGACCACATTCCCTTTAGATGGCCTGGTGAAACGGGGCCCAACTTCCCTCAGTGGCCTGGACATGCTGGATCCACTCGTACACAGCATTCTGTCAGTCCAAAAACAATATGAATCCAAGCCCATAATTACTAATGTGTGCGGAGATCAACGCGAGCTAATTCATACGTGACTTCAAGTGCATCCATCGCCCACGTGCTCAGATGGTTACTTTGCTGTGAATGAGACCAAGAATGCAGTGGCTACCGTGTCTACAAGAGTCAGCCATCTGGACGACACCAGATGTACAGGATGGGGCACAATGTGTCCAACACGCAGACGTTCCGTTAAAAAGTTTCTCGGGATGAACACAAGAAAGTTGTCTCGCCACTATTCCCACTGCCTCCCGGTGAAATAGCGATCTCGAAGAAACTCGCTCTGAACTTTGCAACAGTAGCCCCCTAAGAGTCAGCTAGACCACTTGCGAAACCGTTGGGCCCCAACAAAAACAAGGAGTCACAGCATGATCTTGGCTGCAAAAAAAGATTTTTCAGTTCCCCCAAACAAGCAGAAAGTTCCTGACGAATATCCCGATCGTCTTTCTGGTTTTGACAATCGTGCGGGTGTAACCAAAAAAAAAAAAGCACCAAGAGAGCTAGCTGACCATAGTACCTCCTTAGACACTGTTCCGGCATCCTCCTCCGACATACCACAACCGCTGTTGCCTCCGCAAAAAAGCCAAAGCAACTGACCATACTGAGCAACCAAATGGACATATCTTTAGCTTTTAAATGTGCTTTTTTAAAAGTTTAGTTTTACTCGTAAATAATTTTTAATTGTCCTTTCATCTACAAGCACCCTTTTTCTCTGGAGCAGATAACAAAAAAACCCTACTAACTGCAAAAACCGTTACCACCGCACAAAAAAGGCTGCACCATTGTGTTTGAAAAATTTCTCTATCATTCTAGACTATTCAGATAAGACCGTGCACACAACCCGAGTGGTCGAGATTATTCTGCCACTAACACAAGAACACTTTATTATTCGCGTAAAAAGATGTCTTTGTCGAATTTAGATGTCTTGTGCGGATAGTGGATTATAGATTCCAAGCAAAGTCGATGCTAATAGTGTTTTTGGTTGAATAATTTGTAATTGAATTCAAATAGTCCATATTACCGTATTTAGTCGCATAATTCTCGCACCCCCCCCAACTTCGCCCTTAAAAAATACGATTTCTTTTTTTCCTCGAGTAATTATCGTACCCCCGAAAACTGCCGCAAAATTCCTGTTTGCTCATTTCAACCATGATGATAGCGCGCGCCATCTGGCGCCATCTCTTAACCATCAAGCGCACTATTGCAGAGAGATTAAATCCAATCCAAGACAAGCCGAAGTGGCCAGTGCGCGTTGCAGCGTGTTTTGTATGTTATGTCGGTAATCTTGTCACGTTATGAGGTGATACTAAAGCTACACGGCTGCTTTCAAGTTGCAAATTATAGGTCATGCACTAAACAACAGCAACAGGGCCACCGGTAGGCCCTTCAGAGTCTACGAGTTTTGTGTTCGCTACTGGTGACGTCAGCTGAAAGCCACCAAGACGCGTTGGGCCTGCCAAGTGCCTAAAAAGGGGATTGATGGTAAACTTTATTTCTTCAGAAGGAAACTGCAGACGATTCTGTTAAATAGCCATCAGCCCAATACTGACGTCCTACGCTTACCTTTTGAGGGCTCCTGTTGAGCGATAAAAGTTATCGCTACGCCCGCAACGTCCACAAGCTTGACTATTTGCTTCCACTTTTTGTGTCTCAAATAATTATTGTCTTGTGTTGAAACTCTGCTCTTCTTGTTGAGGGAAGTTTTAATTAGTACTTTTTAAAGCTTGGTGTTAGTTTCTGGGGTGAGAATCCCGATTTGCGGCCTTGTTCGTTTTCTTTTTCGCTCTTTACGTTTTTGTGGAATGTTTTCCCCGCGTAATTCTCGCACTTCCTAACTTTGCATTAGTTTTCCGGCAAAAAAAGTGCGAGGATTATGTGAGCAAATACTGTACATACAAAGAAAAGTGGGCATATTTATCATGACCTAACTAACCTGCACAAAATTTTTTTTAATTAAAATAGGGCTTCTATGCAAATGCCATTTCTTTTTTCGTTCAAAAGAAGTCGAAACAACTTTAAGTAGAAGCAAGATTCGAGTTTTGGTAGGATTTCAGCGATAGCCTGTAAAGTTTGTCACATTTTGAAATTTATTGTATTTTGAGCACATAAGCTGTCATAAAAAGCTTTTCAGGATAATAATGAATCAATTTGAGGGTGATGTGTTCATATAAAGGGGCCCTGCAACACTTTCAAAGCCATGCAATGGATTCACTAAAGAAGCTTATTGCCTCATAAATTCTCCAGCGCAAAAATTTTTAGAATCCGTCCAGTACGAGCAGAGTTGCAAAGATTTGTCGCACATTGCAATTGCATTATCTCTTCGCATTCCGACAAAAGCACTGGAAGATAAGCAGCGAGGGTCGGCACGGGGAAAGAAAAAATGTCACGCGTGCCTCATGACTTTGAGTACTATTTCTTTTTTTTTCTTTCTTCGAATACGCGGCTTTTCAGCGTAATCACTCACGTATGACTGGACAGGTGGCGGCCTGCCGCAACGGCCCCAGTAACCACCAAGCGCGCCATGCTCAAATCGGCCAATGGCCGATACAAAGGCTATGACGAGTGATTTTTGAGATTTTGGCGTCACTTGCCAAGAGAAGAGAGCAATCTTTAGCCGAACTTCAGAATTTATTTTGAATTGCAGGCAGTTTTTTACGCTATATTATTGGGCTCGCGTGCTTTTGGTAACCTGGACTACCGACGGGCAGCGTTTTCTGCCCATGCTCAAAAAGTATTGCAGGGCCCCATGAAATTTGAGTGGGGCTTCCCCACAAAGCTCATTACCTGTAAATAGATGCTTTCACAGCTTAGCACCCATACACCGCAGTGACACCACCTTTAAAACGGGCCACATGCAGATTAATACTATACACTTAATCATTCATTGCGAATACTTTGAAATTTTCAATGATTTAAATTCGAATCAAAATTAATTAGAATACTCTACTATTCTTTTAAATATTTGAAGCGTTCTAATATTCGCACAAGTCTAAAGATGACGCATTCCGCTGACAATCAGATAATTGGCGTGCCTGTGTGCTGCTTTAGCGGCACGTCGCATCGTCTTCCGAGCACAAGTATGACCCATAAAATGCCATCGTTGGCGGCTGTGTTGAGTGTCCCAGCTCTATACTTTTTGTGACCAAGCTCTGCATTATCGGCTAGTATGTTCTTTCAATTTATTTAACAGGTAATTCGCTATTTGTCATTCACTTGTCATTTCTCACTTATTTGCATTGTAGCCCTGGTTCTTGTTTCTCAGGGTAGGCCACGTTGACAAACATGCTGTCAAAGACATCGGTTACTCTTCCACACTGCTAGCAGTGCTGAATGAAGGAATGAACTTGATCAAGCCTCGCCACACTTACACAGCTGCTTCACACAGTCCCGAATGAGCTGCAGCTCCTTCTTCTCTTCTTCCTCCAGGTGGCTAAGCTGGCTCTGCGACTGCACACACACACACACACACACACAATTAGGCTTCCACCACAAGGGCTCTTCAATCTTGGAAAAATTGTGAGTCTGCGCAGCTCACTCTTTCAAAATATAGACAGTCTTTATAAGAGACACTGATGTAACCGAGGTATCAATGTGCCTTCATTGAAAGAAGCGTTAAGACACCTTTTTATAGGAAGGCAGAAGTACTGCTCTGTGCATGTCTCTCATAAAGGAATTCAGCTCTATTCCGCACTTGGAGCTTCATCAGACTCAGGATTGCCAAAATATTCACGACTCAGAAAAACTTAAACTCATTAGCGTAAAATCAGTTCTTTTTTTTTTTACCCTTATCCCAGTGTCAATGCCTTCACATACCATATTTACTCGCATAATAGGAGCACCCCCAGTTTGGTGACGAGAAATAAGATTTTTTTATTTCCACGCATAATAGGCGCACCTTGAACTTGGCTGTGATGAGAACCGTGTTTGCATGGTTGCAATTCGATGCCCTTTTACGTTAACTGAAGTGAGGAAAAAAAGACCACGGCAGCGCAGCACCAGCTCCCTGGGCTCGCTGAGTGACGATGGGGCAGTTGCTTGAGTGTGAGAAAGCAGTGAGATCGTACAGTGCACAGACTGGGACACTTCCAGGTTGGAAAAGAGCATGCCATTATTGCCAAGTTTTCCAGGTTGAAAGACAAAACTGGTGTTCTTTCTGCAATGCCAAAGTTGAGGGATACATTTTTTTCAGTTTGCGAACACTACTCGGCAGGTGTCAGAATTACCCACAAGAAATTTTTTGTGCAAAAGGTTCGCTTTGACAAGCTATTAATGAACAACAAGTTATTTATTTACGATTCTGTGACTGATACTATGAAGGAACTAAAGTCATAGCGTTCACCACCAACCTGTTCGCCGTTATCCTGCGATGCTACGCAGCCACGTGTACTATAGTATTTTGTTCCTTCTGGAATACGAAAGGAGCTACCTTCCTAAAAAAGACTCAACAAAAGCCATTCTAGATCACAGCTCTGCCGATACTACAATACATAAAGAGTCGTGGTTCACTGCACATATAGACACACGCGAACTTTTGTTTGGAGTGTTTAACGCATACAGATTCAACAGGGTTGGACGGTAGGGGGTGGGAGGGGGGGTGGGATGTTTTTTTATTGATTAAACCTAATATATCTTTCTGCGTGGCTGCGACAGAACTTGCTCTTGCACTTATTTGCTAAATTTCTTTCATCTTCTACGGCGATTTTAACCTTCCTGACATTAACTGAGATAAAATGACAGCAATGTCTCACTTATATAGGGAATTTTTTTTATCTTATTCTGACTAACTTCACACAAATGGTATCAACACTAACTCGTGGTGCTGACATTCTTGATTTAGTTTTGGTTTCCAACACCGACACTGCTCAGTCGGTTATGTTTGTTGATGGTTTGAGTGGCCACAGGATGGTGACCTAACCTTTCAAGTACCCATTAGTCGGTCTTCAACCAAATATATCTGTAATTACAAAAAGGCAGACTTCCCAAAAAGCATTGAGAGCAATTCGTTACATCATAAACAAAAAATGTTGAATCACATATCCGGAGCAACACTGACAAATCATGTGTAACAAGCGTGTTCTTCAGAGGAGTTTCAGCAAGGAACTCGCCAGGGCAAGCAAGACAGCTGCAGCACAGAAAACAGGAGGCCGAGAGCGCGACACACAAACTTCGTCGTCTTTTCTCTCCCTGGCACAGAGCTAGCGCCGATGTGCAGCCGGTACAATTTCCTCCCTGCACAAAGAGGAGCCATCGTGGCGACGGCGACTTAAGGAAAAGACGTTATAGGTGGGTCGTAGCAGGGTTTAAGTTGCGTGACGTGAACTGTTTCGCGGTTTCGGCAGCGATGATCGGGCGATGGGTTGACAGGCTCGACGTAGTTTACGGGAGATGTCTGCTCCAGTATGCGGTAAGGACTATGGTACCGTGACAAAAGTTTAGTGGAAAGTCCGGGAGTTGTGGACAGGACCCAAAGCCAAACCAGCTTTCCCGGGGAGTCATGGGCATCAGATGCAGCTGTGTCACGGCGGAATTTTCGGTGCGACTGATCTTGCGTAGTGTACAAGCGAGCCAGTTTATGGCACTCTTCAGCGTAAGCAGCAGTTTGAGAGATGGGATTGCCCTCAAAAACGTCCGGTTGGTACGGCAGAATAGTGTCCATAGAACATGAAGGTTAACTCCATACAGGAGAAAGAAGGAAGAGAAGCCAGTGGTAGTTTGAGACACAGAGTTGTAAGCGTAGGTGACAAAAGGAAGTACGCGGTCCCAGTTTGTGTGGTCTTCCGACATGTACATCGTCAGCATGTCGGCAAGGGTACGATTGAAGCGTTCCGTCATGCCGTTAGTCTGAGGATGGTATGCGGAAGCGGTACGGTGTACAATGCGGCATTCTTTGAGCAGAGTCTCGATCAGCATTTGAGAGGAAGACGCGGCCACGGTCACTAAGTAATTCCCGTGGGGCCCCATGGCGCAGAATGAGATGACGAAGTAGGAACCAGGCGACGTCTTTCGCGATGGCGGCTGGTAGCGCAGATGTTTCTGCGTACCGCGTGAGGTGATCGATGGCGACTATTATCCAGCGGTTGTCGTCAATGGTGGTCGGGAGTGGACCGAAGAGATTGACTCCGACGCGGTCGAATGGTCGGGCAGGGCAGGGCAATGGCTGCAAAGGACCAGCGGTGCTGTGAGTAAGAACCTTGCGACGTTGGCATGCAGGGCACGACTGAATGTACCGGCAAACGTATCGATACATGCCTCGCCAGTAGTACCTCAGGCGAAGACGCGAGTACGTCTTGAACGAACCAGCGTGACCACACTGAGGGTCGTCGTGGAAGGCACTGCAAATGTCCGCGCGCAAATGACGGGGTATCACGAGGAGTCACCTGCGGCCTTCGGTCAGGTAATTGAGACGATACAGCAAGCCTTTACGAAGTGCGCAGTGTTGGACTTGAGGACGTAGGGTGCGTGAGGCAGAGTTTGGGGCCCGTTGGGACAAAATGTCAAGCAGGGAAGCAATCCAGGAATCTTTGCGCTGTTCTTCCGGCATGTCGGTGATGGCCAGAGATGATGAATAACAAGTGGAAGCTGGTGAACCGGCATAGTCAGGAGGCAGTGGCGATCGAGATAGGGCGTCAGCATCCGAGTGTTTTCGTCCAGAGCGATGAATCACAGGTATATTGTACTCCTGTAATCGTAAAGCCCAGTGAGCCAGGCGTCCAGTCGGGTCTTTCAAGGACGACAGCCAGCATAGTGCGTTGTGGTCGGTAACAACATCAAACTGCCGCCCATAGAGATAGGTGCGAAATTTACCGATTGCCCAAACAATTGCCAAACACTCCTTTTCTGTGACTGAGTAATTTGACTCCGCCTTTGTGAGGGTACGACTGGCATATGCTACAACGTACTCGCCAAAGTCTGGTTTTCGCTGGGCGAGTACCGCGCCAAGGCCGACACCGCTAGCGTCCGTGTGTATTTCTGTAGGCGCGTTGGGGTCATAGTGGCGCAGAATTGGAGGAGACAAGAGGAGTAGGCGAAGCTTCGTAAATGACTCATCGCAATCAGCACTCCAGGCTGAGAGGTCGTTGCTGCCGGCGAGAAGCTGTGTCAAGGGGGATATAATGAAGGCGAAATTGCGGATGAAGCTCCGAAAATATGAACACAACCCAATAAAGCTTCGGAGTTCCTTTAAAGTGCTGGGCTTGGGATATTCAGCAACCGCTCGAAGTTTGGCAGGATCTGGCGAAATTCCTTCTTTGGGACGACGTGGCCTAGGATGGTAAGCTGACGGGCGCAAAAATGACATTCCTTCAGGTTTAACTGCAAGCCGGCGTTAGTGAGGCACTCGAAGAACTTGTTAAAGGCGAGCGACATGAGAGGCGAAATTTGCAGAAAAAACCACTATGTTATCTAAGTAGCATAGACAGGTCTGCCTTTTGAGGCCTCTGAGAATGGCGTACATCATCCTTTCGTAGGTAGCAGGCACGTTGCAAAGGCCGAAAGGCCTTACGTTAAATTCGTATAAACCGTCAGGAGTGACGAACGCTGCTTTCCGACGGTCGGCTTCAGCCATGAGCACTTGCCAGTAGCCTGAGCGCAAATCCAGTGATGAAAAATATTTGGCTCCTTGAAGGCAGTCCAGGGCGTCGTCGATGCGGGGTAGGGGATAAACATCCTTCCGTGTAATCTTGTTTAGGCGGCGGTAGTCAACGTAAAATCTTATTTAACCGTCTTTTTTCCGCACCAGCACGACAGGAGAGGCCCAGGAACTGTTCGATTCCTGAATCATGCCACGTTTCAGCATGTCATCGACGTTGTCACCAATAACGCGGCGTTCGACCTGTGATACCCGGAAGGGACGCTGTCGCAGGGGAGGATAATGACCGATGTCAATACGATGAATCACTGCAGACATGCGCCCCAGTAATGGCTGGCCAACGTCGAAAAAGGCACGAAAGCGTTGAAGAGTTGAACAACCTTTGTGCGCTGGACTGGCGTAAGCGCGTTATCGATGCTGCGCGGGAGGATGTCTTGGACAGGGGAGGTTGTAGCCGCGGCGGAGGTGACGGCATTTATCGTCAACGGTGTCTTTTCGCACGTTGCATCCAAAGGGAAGATGGCCTCAAAACTGTCTAAATGTCCAACACATTCACCGCGTAACAGAGTTGTCGAGCAAGAAAGGGATTGCACGCGTAAACCACACCAGCACTATGCAGAAGGGTAACGACGGCAAGTGGGAGTATGAGATTCCGTCAGCGTGCACAGTCTTCAGACGGTGCAAACGGGGTGGTCAAATCACAAACTGAGTCAGAGGAAACGGACACCAGGGTGGCAGAGAACGGAGAAATGATAACGTCAGCAGCGACAACCAATTTAGGCACCGGGCTCGGGACGTCGACAACTGTGGTACTGAAAGGGGACAAAGCGCGTCGAGCTCCAGCGCAGTCAACGAGCGC